CAGCGTGGGCCATGTGGTGCCCGTTACCTACCGGAACTTACTTCCGACACATTAAATACATAGGAAGGTCTATCAAAGATGAGAGGAAACTCATTTTCTGGAATTGTTAGGATGTAAATGTAGATGTTATCTAAAAACAGAAATAGAAAAAGAATAGGTCTCAATAGTCTATTCTTGTTCATTTTCAACATTTCTAAAGCACTTTCTTTTTATGTACCAGACTCTGTACAAAATATTGGGGATGGAAGACGAGTAAGGCATGGCTGGTCCTTGCCCTTGAGCTGCTTAGGGCGTGTCTTCCTTGATAAACCCACACACCGGGCACTACGTAAGCCTAAGGAGGACCACCTTCCTTGAGGAGGTGCATGTTGAGCCTTACAACTGGGCAGTGATACCAGTGTGACCAACTCATTTTGAACTCACAGAGACACCAGGTGTGCAGAGCAGAACTGTCCTCTATAGAACGTTCAGAAGCAGATCACCAGCCTCTCTTCCAAGGTGCCTCTGGGTGGACTTGAACTGCCAAATTTTTGTCTGGTAATCTAGCATTGAACTACTCAGCGACTACCAAGACAGTCAGGGGCCAACGGTGGGGATCAGGCAAGTGTTCTTGACATGTGCAAGGAAATCAAGGTACAAAGCAATACAATTCACTCAGGGAAATGACAAGCTGTTTGGCGCAGCTGGGAGGAAGTTGGTTTACAGGGGATGGATGAGGTCAGAGGAGATTAAGTAGGGCCTAGATGGTCAAAGTCCTTGTATGTGACACCGAGAGTTTGAACTGGAACTTGAACACTATGGGGACACTCAAGGGCATTAAGCAAGGAGGTAATCTGCTGGGGCTTGCATTTCCTAAGACATCACCAGTAGAAATGGGAAGGATGCATCGGCGAGGGACAAGACAGAGGTAGAGTGACCTTGCAGAGACTGGGACGTGTTGAATTCAGCCAAGGCTCGAAAGGCCCTGTGTTAGCCCAGGGGCAGCGGAATGCAGAGCAGCGATGGGCAGACAATTCTCGCGACTTTAGGAGGTGACATAGACGAAAGGATGGATTAAACGTGCTAGCTGCAGAAGGGACGGGGAGGTGGGGGTGACTCCTAAGTACTAGGTTTTGTTGAAATCACCTTTTAAACAAAAACACGACCTCACACAGTAGGTTGTTGCTGCTCAGGGTGCCTTGTGAAATAAATCAAAGTGATACTTGCTTTTATAGTAAGGAGGGGCAATGTCCTGCACTTGGATTATCATGATGAATATATTGCCGGATGCCAGGTTATTTGGATCTTCATAATCTAGGTCACCAATCAGCTAGATGAAAACAGAGAGATTATACAGAATAAGCAATCCTCCGTATTACAACGATGAAGGCATTTCCATGTGCTACTGGCAGATGTGTAAAATGACCAACCATTTCTGAACAGCATTTTGTCATTTGTATGAGAAACAAAAAAAATTATATCCACACCTGTGAGAGGTGGCTGGTTTTATGTCCGATAGACACTCCTGGCTAGGGGCGGTGTCAAACCTGTCAATTAAGTGGTAGCTTGGTGACACCCCCTTAGGGGCGTTGCCTTGTATGAGTGTGAAGCACTCTGGGAAAGCCTCTGTCAGTCCACCTTCTTACTCGCTGGGACGTCTCTGGGATTCTGAGTCTGCCTCCAGGAGTGGTCCTATGGGGGCCTCCGGACCCGGCCATACTACCACCGGCCTTGGATCCACCCACCTGTGATCTCACTCCCTGCCTTCTGCTCCCCTTTACTGCGCCACCAGCCTGCCACTGTGTGAGTCTGAAGAGTTCCAGGCTTGCCTGGAACTGTGGGCTGGAGTTAGACTGGGCTGAGATGCTTTCTTTTGATATCCAATTACTTGTTGACATAAAGTTCTTTGGTCTACACACATGCATGTCACTGGATTCGTTTCTCTAGACCACCCAGCCTAACACAACACTCTTTGCTCACTGCTAATTGATGTATGCCAAAGGATTTATCAGGAGAGAGGATTTCGAGACAAAGATGATCGTGGGTACCGTGGCCCAACAGCAGGGACTCACAGCCTCAGGCTCGTTGAAGGAAATCGGCAGGGGAGACAGATTCCTACCTGCAGGGTATGCTCAGCACATGTAGGTAGGCAGGCCTAGAATAGGTATCAAACGGATGCATAGAAAAAAGACAAGAAGGAAATAGACCAGAATAGTGACAATGCTTATCACTGATCTATTGGCAATGGCCATGCTGATCTGGGTTTCCCTGCATTTTCTGCAGTGAGCATGTATCAATTTCCTAAGTAGAGAGAAAATAGATAGGCATTATTTTCGAAATGACACTGTGAGTAAAATTGGTAGGATTTTCTTGGGGAGTGAAGGAGGACTGGGGTGGGTTATGGAAAGAGAGGGGGAGGCTTTATCTCTGGTGCAAACCACTCTGGAGACCCACCCCGCCCCGCCCATCTTCTTCCAGCACAGTTCTGTGTCTTTGGAGTGGCCTACCCACCCCCTCTCAATCTCCCGTTCGGGTCTCCAGTGGGTGTGGTGTTTTCAGCTGCCACCAGGTTGGCCTGACCCAAAGCATGACTGGACAGAACATGGCCCAGTCTTGTGACATTCTCGTGATCGGTTGGGGATTGGACCTTTGGGATCCCTCGGGGTTTTCTTGGACTGATTTTCTAGGGAAGATGGCCCACCCCTTCTCCTTAGTCCGTTTAGATGCTTGGCTGACACCCATTCAGCAGCACCAGGAGGTGAGAACGTACGAGGAACATTGGCTGGGAACCAACCCTGGGCGTCCTACCTACCAGATGTGGAGCCAGCAGCGTCTCACCCAGTGGGTCTACAAGGCTGAACTCATTCATGATCTTCGCCCTGCTTGCCGGCACCTCGCCCCTCTACAGGTCTGAAAGGAGCACTCAAATGGGCAACGTGCCAGAGCCCAGAGGGCACCAATGGGAGCCTGTGGAGGCGCACAGCCAACTGTGAGCGGTGCCAGCGCCAATCCGGCCCGGAACCCTGGGCACAAGTGTGCGTAACGGGACGAAATAAAGAGCACACGGGAGATGCAGGTCACTATTAAGTTTGGCAGTGACCGTGGCTCCACACTCCGAGGGCATGTTGCCTTGGAGATTTCTCTCTATAGAGCAGCCAACGCGCGAGCGCTTAGACTAGCTTCCCCGCTGCCCTTTCACTGACGCAGTGATCGTTCACTGACCACAAGTTTCCCAGAGCCAGCTGGATCCTGTGAAAATCGGCGGTCGCTGCCCACTCCGGAGGGCGTGGAGAAGTTGAACTTGTTGTTTGGTGCTTCACTGTCATGATCAAAGCAGAACTTGTTCAGGTCCAGAAGCAGCGTCCCCTTGGCTGCTCTTTCAGGCACCATCATGCTGGCGGAAAGACAGGAGTCAATATCCCCCCCACCCCCAACCCACTAACAAATGCGGACCACATGTTGCTTTGCAGCCTGGTCACCTCTATTTTAACTTCAATTCAAAGCCAACCCATGGTTAGAACAACAACCTCTGGACGGGTCCCCCGCTTCTTCCCTGGCCTCCTTTTAGGCCATCCGAAACACAGCAAACATCAAGTCTCACTGGCTCCTCATTTCCTTCCACTCCTGCCCTGGGTCCACAGACCCTACGTAAAGTCTCTCCCTGCCAGTCACCTTGCTGAACTCAGGTCCTACTGGCTTACCCACCACCCAGCTTTGGCCTCCAGATCTTCGTCCGGGCTGTGAACTGCCTTCGCATTAACCGTCTGAAAGCTCACTCCTTCACGCCCTTTCGTTTTTAACCAAAGCTTCCCTTCTCAGTGAGACCTACCCTAGGTACCTTACTGAAAATATCAACAGTCCCTTGCTGTTGCGTTCTCTCCCACCCCAACCTTTATTTAAAAATGTTTTCCACTTGACATTTCCCAATATACTATCTATTTGACTTGTTTACCCCGGGTATTGTCTGCCCCTCCCCAAGCAGGTCAACGCCATGAGGTCAGGGGTTTGTTCTCAGATCACAGAGAGCCCCAAACCAAACTCGCTCGCTGCCAAGGAGTCCATGCTGACTCATAGCAAACCCTCTAAGACAGGGTAGAACCGCCCCCTGCAAGTTTCTGACCCTGTGACTCTTTAAGGGAGTGGCTGGTGGTTTTGAACTGCTGACCTTGCAGTTAGCAGCACAGCACATAATAACTATGCTCGTGGGGGAGGGGGCAAAAAGGAAAATGAGCTGATTCCGGGAACCCAAGAGGCAAGCGAATTTTGGGAATGATGAGGGCAACAAATGTATAGATGTGCTTTACACAATTGA